TGGCAAACGTAGCCCTCCTGGCTGCACAGCATACGGTGGACCCGGCTTCCAGAAGTTTAGCCACTGGTCTAGTCCTGAGGGGGATTCCTGGCTACAACCAGCAGGGTTCCCGAGCAAGGTCCAAACTGCCACCCAGGACCTTCCTTTTGACAAGTCGAATCCCTTCAACAAGAAAACCGCTGAGTCCCTGCACTCACTAAAAGACTCAAGATTGATGCTGCATTATCTGGGGACTTATACACCAGCCCCTAGGAGGAAACCCCAGACGCAGTCCAATAGACCAAGGCCACCCCCTCCTCATGCATCTTATCACCAGTGCACAACCCAGCCTCTGCGCAAATGCCAGAGGATTCAGAGGCCTCACTCTTGGCCCCCTCTACTGCCACAGTCTCTCCTCACTATCCACCACCAGTCAAGAGCCACTTTTGACAGATTGGTCGAGACCCAAGCACCACTGCTGTTGCCAGCCATCTGTCCCCTGTCATTTTGGGGGCCATCTTACACTTTTAACCCACAACTGGAACAAGATCACAATGAACAGTTTAGGTTCCGGAGATTATCCACCAGGAATATTTCGTAGTTTCTTTCCTTGCCACCTCACAAACCCCCTTCCTCCCCCTCTCCCCCTTTGGGGACCCCTCTCATGAGGTGATTCTTCAATGGTAGGCAGAATCCCTTTTACGCTGAGGGGCAGTAGAGCACGTCCCATCTCGTTACCGCAGAAGAGGGGAGGGTTCTACTTCCCATATTTCCTAATCCCCACAAAAGACCGAGAGTGGAGACCCACCCTGGACCTTCCGCAACTCAACATCATTATTCAAAAGCTGAAGTTCCAGACGATCACGCTAGCATCTATAATCCCCTCCCCTCAGGAAGACAGACTAGCTCCGTTGATCCTTGGAAGGACACGGATACAGTCTTCTGCTCAAAGGATTGACATTCAGGCAGTATTCTTTGAAAACAAGAATATTCTTTACTAACACAATATTCCCTAATCCAACAAGTTTATTAAGAAGATAAAGAATCCATAAATGTTCTTAACAAGGCATAATGTGATCTGTGCTAATTGACTTTAAGTATTCACAATTGCAATATCATACAGTTTTTAAATTGCTTCAAGTGGTTACATTCCATATGTGATGACTAGTCACACACACAATGCCGACAGCAAATCCTTAAACATCTAAATCATAACAAACAAAAACATCTAGCTTTATTATCCCAGACCCTTACATTCACACCGTTTAATTATTCTTACACTGGAGAGTTATTTTGCTTACTTTCTCTACTATCTTCTTTTCCCTCTGAGAGCTGCTTCTGCTCTGTCAGCGTTGCTACTGTTCCACTGTTACTGCTTGTCTCTCCTTAAGTGATTTTAGTTCTTTTCTTTTTATTCTTGATTCTCCTACTGCTTATACACACACCAGTACCTTCCACTCACTCTGACTCAAGAGTGTTCGCTCTCTGCCCTCTATACAGATTTTGGCCTATTGGGATTGGTTATTTTTACAATCCTAAGCATTCCCACCAATCATTTTAAGCCCTCTATCTGTCAATCAAAGCTAGACTTGATTGAAAACTTGTGCCTTATTTGGCGGACCTGATTGACGACTTGCATCTTGCCTGATTGACCTCTCCCTTCAGGTTTTGGAGTGACCTTTATTTCACCTCAGCCTCCCTACTTGCTGTTGGCTGAATCACTCCCAGACCTCCATTTTGGATTTCTCTGTGACTGCTTGTGACGGCCACCTTGTTATCGCTAGCCGAAACCATCTTAACTCTAAAACTATCTTAACTATTAAACCTCTACAGTTATAAGCTATCCATATCTAAGCAGGCCCTAATCCTACCATTCACTGTCACTGCTCCATTTTTCATTATTTTAAACCAGTTTAATTTCGGTCTCTCCTCCCTGCTTCGGCTCGTGGTGGCTGTGCAGCGCTCTTAGTCCTGAATTCCTTACACAAAGCAGCTGAAAGATCTCTTGTATCCCCCTTTGACTTCGGAGGCGGTTAATACTATTTATATGCAAACAGAATTCAGACATAATTTTTACCACTAAAAGAATAAAGCAAGTCATGCTTAAACCATGTAAAAAAAATAAAACTTAACTCCTGTTATAATAGACATCAAATCTCTTTCTATTCCTCGCTAAAATTTAAGTATTAAAACCTTTATTTAAAAAAAAAGAATTTAGCATTTCTCCGCAAATTACCACAGACTGGTTTTTTGCTCACAGTAGAAACAGGTTTTCCCATCTCTGGCGCACTCACATGCCTGGAGACATGCACCACATCTATCTGCGTGGGCTTGACCAGGACCAGGCTTCCTTGAGTCTGAGGCCTGAACCTTGGGCAGATGCAGAATGTAGACAGAGTCTGCCTGCGTTCCATTTGTCATTCATGGAGCCTGGTGTCTGTCCTGATACACAGGTCCATAAAAGCCTCCAACTTGGCAGGAGCGTCTACCCATGTCAGCCTGTCCTTAATTCTTCACACTGATTGAACTGAAACTGATGGAGGAGTGTGACATCATTCCAGATGCTGTCTGGGTGACGTAGGAAGGGGCCACCCCCTTACGTAAGGCAATCTCCGCCATGTGGGCTTTAGCCGATTCGTCACAAATGGTAGCAAATGAGTGCAGGAAAGAAGCCCAGCATGTCAACACAGGGTGGTCTTGCTCTAGAAGCAGAGAAGCCTATGCAAGGGCCTCCGCGGTAAGCAAGTTAAGTAGCTGCCCCACCTTGACCTGGTCCACGGCATATTCCTGGGTTTGGAACACAAACAGGAGTCTGCATTGGGTAATAAACCTGCAGAACTTGTCGATGGTGCCATGGTATCTCTGCGAGCGGAACTCTAGGGCTGGTTACCCAGCTGGTGTCACAAGGGGAGACGTGGTCCCTGCAGCTGCTCTGAGAGCTGCAATGTGCACCTGCAGGGAAAAGTTTCCTGTCTGCAGTTGCCATACGTGATCTCTCAGGCTCTGGGTCTCAGCCTGGAGGACAGTGATGTGTTTCTGCAGACTCACAGGCCCGTGGGGCGTCGGTGTGGCGGAAGACCCAGCAGCGTCCATACTCCGTTCAGGGGAACAGCAACAAGTCTCGGAAGAGACCGAGGGGGTCTGAGCAAACTGTCAGGGCCCAGACACGGGCAGTCAAAGCTCAGAGCAGAGTCAGGGCCATGGACAGGAATCACGCCAAGGGTCCCGGGACGAGTCAGTCAGAAGCCACGTCGGGTGTGAATGCCGGAGTCAATAACTGGGGTCAGGGTGAGGAACAAGGAGCCGGGAACTCGGTTGTTGGGGACCAGTCAGCGCCAGGCCTGGTGCAGGTTGCTCAAGCAAGGGGTGGGACAGGACCAAGGTTTATGCCCAGTGGTGTCCAATCAGCCGTCTGCTGCTAGTCACCTGACCCCGCTGACTCAGCAGGTGGAGCATTGGCAGCGGTTTCCCTGCCTTGCCGCGTGGTGGCGCAAAGACTAAGGCTCCTGCTTGGCCCGCCCACGGGCCTGGGTTCGAGGCCTGCGGTGCCTGACAGCAGGCAGGGGGTTGGCAAGGCCAGCTGGCAGGGGGGGCTGGGTGGGTGTGGGGTTAGCAAGGCTGGCAGGCATTGGTGAGTCCGGCTGAGGATGGGGGCTGGGCAGGCGAGGGGGCGGTGAGTCCGGCTGAGGGTGGGGGCTGTGCAGATAAGGGGGCGGTGAGTCCGGTTGAGGGTGGGGGCTGCAATGCCAGCTAGGTTTCCAATGCAATAGAAGCCCTTCCTGGCCCGTGAGAGAGCCACACAGAGCCGATTTTTATCATGGAGGAAACCAATCCTCCCTTCTCTGTTGCTTTGTACCAGCGAGAGAAGAACGATGTCATTCTCCTCCCCTTGAAAGTCATCCACGGCGTGGACAGCCACGTCTCCCATGTCCCTGCTCCTCATCAGCATGCGGCTCTTCAGCACCTGGCCATGGTAGGGGGTCAGAACGGTGACTTGGCTCTCGGGGTATCCCTGCTCTAGGAGGTATCTGCTCAGCGAGACCAGGAAGGCAGCCTCAAACCTGTTGCTGTAGCCCTCGGAGTCAGCGCTGTGGCTCTCGGCCGCTGTGTGCTGGATGAAGAAGACACTGCTCTCCACGCCCTGCAGACAGGGAGAGTTGGCACCCTGAGCATTTTTTAAAATGAAGTGACTGCTAATATTTGCACGTTTAACCCAATCTGTAACTGGGAGGAGGCAGAGCTGGGATCCAGTAACCCTTGCTATTCCTTTAACCTCTTTTGTCCCAAAGAGCTTTACAGGTGGTACCAGCTCATTCAGCCGCAGCCGAGGGGAGGGAATGGGCGCCCATTCTGCGCCAGAAACACTATGGTGCTGCTGTTACTGTGGGCTGCGAATGGCGTCCTGCCTGCAGCGTCTGAGGTGGTGCTAGAGCAGAAGCGTTTGGCCTCTTTACTGAGTCCCCTGTGAAGCACCTTGCCCACTACTGGCGGCTACAGAACAGGGCACGTTTCCAGGAGCAGTGAAGAGGAATTCCATGCAAAGACTGAACTACCGCTAACCCTCGGGGTAGGCAGGAGAAACTAGTCTAAATATGGGTCACTGGGCTTTGCTTGTTTGCAGCTCATCTCCCATGGAGACGGATTCAGATCCCACCTCCTGACGCTGCCGGTCACACCTCAGCAGTAGCATAGAATTACAGGTCCGAGGCGTGTTTAAAACCAAGGTGTAGAGGATGAGCACGAAGGAGCCTGTTACCTCTGGGAGGAAGGATGATCTAGTGCTTAAGGCACCCCATGTGTTTATTTTTCTTTCAACGCACGTGTGTGTGTGTGTGTGTTAGTTAACCATTAAAACTCCCCTTGGCCTCCCCAGCCAGAAGGAAGAGCCACCCACACCAGACACCTAGGAGCACACACAGAAAAATGACTACGGCGGGCTGGAAAAGTTTTGAAATTTCTATTGTTTTGCAGAAATCCTCCCTGAATGGTTAACTGAGGACGTTTCCCTTGTTTCCCTCCAGCTTCCCAAGCAGCCAGAACTTGCTGAACGTTCAAAATCTCCTCAAACGTGTTTTGGGATATTTTTCCCCTGCATTCTCCAGCCAGCCCTACAGATGAGGATGAGAACAAACCGAAGGAAACAAGCCAGCCGTGGGCAACTCCCCATTCACCGCACCGGAGGGCTGCAGTGCTGCCTAACAGGGCTAAGTGGGGGAGAAAGAGCTGCCTTCACAAATGCCCCAGTCACAGAGTCTCCACCAGCCGGTCCCATTGGCTTCATCTGGATCCAGAGGAAACCTAGTTTGATAAATAAACGCTGCCCTGAGGCGCGCGTGGCAGGCTCCTTCAGTGAGCCAAGGCAGAAGGATGGGAGCAACCAGCCCTGTAGTTGGTTTCTTGCTCTACCCTGGGCTTGTTAACAGCTTCAGTGGGATGCATCTAATACATTAGAATCCCTTTGGTAATAACCACGCCCTCACTCCCCCCGCCCTCCCCGAACACTCTTGCCCGGGCTGGCAGGTGGCTCCGTCACGTGGCATAGGCAGCCGGATTTCCCAGCTACGGGAAGTGTTTCCACCTACCTTGATCTGTTCATATTCAGCATCAGCATCGTGGTCTTTGAGCTGTTTGTAAAAGAGCGGCACCAGCAGCTGGGAAAACTCTGGGCGCATGCGGTGCTGTTTGAGACGAGAACGGGACACCCAGCTGAGAGCCACGGTTATTCTTTGGTAACTATTTAAAAACCCTCCCTTGGCCGTGGATTAACTGTTTGCTCCACGTTTGTTACAGTTCTGCCTGCTTCGGGCTGGCGGCTGCCAGCCCTTTGGTGAAGGGATTGGAGCCTTCCTCAAAGGCAGCTAGACTGTACGATGGGGCTGATGGGCCTGAATCTAGCAACAAAATCCTAAAGCTGTTCTCACCCCCCACCAGCAGCTGGCACGTGGTACAGCCGCCCTGCTCCGTCTGTCCACACCACTTCTATTCGCCGGCTGCCAGGTCGGGACGATCCGTGTTACCGAGCCTGTCGGTATGGTAACAGACGTTCCCTAGACCTAGTGGTTTGTCTGAGTTACAGTATTTATTAGACAGGCCCCAGGGGGTTGCTTGGTGACTGTTGTGGCTGGATGCTCCAACTGTTGTGGAGTCTTGAAATCTGCCTGTTGCAGGGGGGGTGGGAGCGGGGTGTGGCTGTTTTCACCAAGCCAGCCCAGCAGCTCACTAGCCCCCAGGAGTGGGGAGGCTCTAGGATCCCTAGTGCGCCATCTCAGAAGAGGTGATGACGGATTCCCCATCCACTTTCCCATAGCACCGCGGGCATCAGTTTGGATTCTCTGGGTTTACGAGGAGCTGAGTGAAGCAGTGGGGCCTGTTACCCCCATGATGTGCCAGGCCCTGCTGCCGAGGGGTAACTCATGCACATCCCCTCGGGAGGCGCCTGGGTATGGGCTCATCACCCTTCTAGGACCAAGCATTACGGCCAGCAGGTGACCTGGGCAGCTGACTCAGACACCAGCGCCAGTGACGTGCAGCTGAGATGCAGCTCTGCCTGCCACTGCCCCCTGGCTAGCCCAAGGCTCGGGGCTGCAGCTGAACCAGAGCTAGATGCTGGGGGGCAGAGGAGGGCACTCGGAAGGACACTTTCCACTAGCTGCGCTGGGCTAGGAGATTCTGTCCCTCTGGGCCTGGGTTAGGGGGAGTGGAGGGGAGCCCTAGACTCTGTTATCCATTCGGGGTCTAAGCCAGGGCAAAGGGGCTCTGCACATGTGTGACGTGGCCCATTCATCTCCTTGAGATGTTCTCAGATGAAAGAGAACTGCCCCTGGAGACACAAGCGCCAACTCCGTGGGTGCTCCAGGGCTGGCGCGCTTGGGGAGGGGGCGGAACTGGGTGGGAAGAGGCGGGGCGAGGCCTTGGGGGAAGGGGTGGGGTGGGGGTGGGAAGAGGCGGGGCGTGGGTGTGGCCATGGGGGAAGGGGTGGAGTGGGGGTGGGAAGAGGCAAGGTGTGGCTGTGGGTGTGGGGGAAGGGTGAGTGGGGCGGGAAGAGGCAGAGTGTGGTGT